GTCGGTTTTCTTTATAAACATTACATAATTCTTTTATTAAAGTATTCATTTTTGTAAACATCCGAAAACAAGGCCATAAAACCAGTATCCTTACTTTTGTTAGTAAAGAAAGAGCAGCTTTACTCTCTTACTGTAATCGTTATCGAGAAAGTTTTTGCAGCCGAGCGCGTTCGTCAGAGGTTTTTTTAATTTCAACTTTTAACATTTAAAAGACAAGTAATAAAAATAAACTACACATAATTTAACAGAATAAATCTGATTACTTTCTTTGCGAAAAGCTGAGTTGGAATAGGAAAAGGGTCTCCGCGAACCTCTGCTTAACTACTTATTCTATAAACCAAATTCATTTGTAACTTAGTGTAGCATATTTTTTATACGTTACTTGAATTTCTTTTTATATCCAGAGAAAATAAGACAATTACGAAAAATTATTTTTACAAGGACATTAATAAATTCTTTTTTCCTTATGATAACACTGACGCAATAATATTCTCTTATGGGTCGAGTGGTAACGCCAAGTTATTTGTACTTAAACTCTTTTGCATACAAGTTTATTTTGAAAAAAAAAAATAAATAAAGAAAGGTTACACTTCTATTTCTGTAGTGAACGTGAAAATCTGGTTAAAAAAGTTTTTGAACTGGTAAGTATTTTTTAAGCGGCTAAAAACTTTGTAAGGTATAATACGTGAAATTTATTGTTTCACTTCGAATTTAATGACATATAAATTTATAAAAGAGAATTTTACAGTAATAAGTAAAACTAAAACCTTTTTTCAACTTTCTTAAAGTTAACTAAATGATAAATAATTTGTGAAAACATTCCGAAATAATAGCTTTAAGGCTAAGTTAATATTTTTAAATGAAGTATCAAAAAAGCTTGTTTAAGTATAATAATATTGATTATTGAAAGTTCTCTTGAGGCCAAAGGAAAAGTCTCAAGGTTATAAGTTTTTGTACTGATTACTTATAAATTATTAGACACAATACTGTTTTATATTTACGTTAGAAGTTTATTAAAAGTTAATTTCCCATAAGTAGTCTGATAGGCATATATAATTTTATACAATTACTTAAACTATTTATTATTTATATTGTTAATATTATTATTAATTATACCACTGTAAGACTCGTTTAAATTTATTTATAAATTTTAAGGCTCTTACTTTCATTGGAATTGAGATCCCCGTTGAAACTTCTGGTGCATTCAGTTTAAAGTATTTATACGACTTTCGTTTTGGCCCGAGGTATCCTTTTTTATCAATAATTTATTAATAATTACTATTATTACTTTAAGATTTAATGAAAATGAGTTAATTTCCTATTCTAATTACACTGTTAGAAAAATTTCCGAGAAACATTTGGTTGTTAATTCATGTTTTATTAGTTCTTTATAACTATTATTATTACATTTAGACTCCTATCGAAAGAGTGCTTTGCATTACTGAAGATTTTTTAGTTGAGCGGGATCCGTTTACTTATAATATTATTTCTATCAAGTTTACTATGCATTTGTTTTAAATAAAAAAATATATTATTTTTCACAGTTTAATAAATGTTAGTAATAATAATAAATAATAAAATAATATAAAATTTATGTAAAGGTTATTACTTTCTATAAAAGTATAATAAATAATATAACTATTTAAAGGCCGCTGAATGAGGTCTACTGCTTGAATAGAGATGAATATGACGAGCAAAAGTTTTCCATAGAAGTTTTATTTATTTGTTTTTATCAATTTTATGTAAAAAAAGTTTTTAATGTTTTGTTTTTATGAATAGTTATAATTAAAAAAGTTGTCAAGTCTATAACAACTTTTTCTGTAAATTAATTAATTATAGTGTATTAACTATTTATTAAGATTCATTATAAAAATTATTATAATTTAATATTTCACCTTTTTTTTTGGTTATTATACTTAATAATTGTTCTTATTATTGCTTTACTATTATATACTTTTTTATTTGCTAGTCTTACTACTATAAATTCAATTAGAATTTTTACTTACTTAGTTTATATTAGCTTATTTTTAGGTGCTTATAAAAATAAACTTTTTATTTGTTTAATTTATTAGTAAAAAGAAGAATGTTTACTTATTTATAACTTTATTACATGAATATATTTTATACACACTTGTTTATATTTTAGTTAGTACCTTTCTTATTAATTTATATATATTTATTTACTTTATTATAACCTTTTATTAATTGATTTTTACTTGAATAATTGTTATTCATACCCATTTTTCCTTTAATTTTTTTTGCTAATATTGTACTGTTTGATACTTTTAACTATTTAGTATATCGACGGTTCGATTCGTCGTTATTACAGTTTCGAAAGGGATTCCCTTTTGGTCTATATATATTTCATCCGAATTTAAATATTTCATTTTGTATTTGTGTAATATTATGTGAATTCTTGGAGTAATATTGGGTTTTTGTATTGTTTCATTTTTTTTCCCGTTCGCCTCTTCCATTTTTTATAGGATTTTTGTAACTTTTATCATTGCTTATTTATATATATTTTTATATGCACTATTGTATAATAATTTTTCTAATTTTACTTTTTACATGTAATACTTTACAACTATATTATATATAATCGAAATTTTTTATTATACGGATTTGTCCTTTTTTTTCTACTTTTTTTATATATATTTATTTTATTTATATTACCTTTCGTTACGTCATTACCATTAACTATTATTTATATATCTCTAATGAAACGTCTTTATTATGTGTTTTTAGTAAAATTTTGTATGAAATAATTACACCTTTTTTTTTGTAAAAATAATATTTTTTACTTATTACAATTATTATTGACCCCCTTTTTTTAATGTATTTACTTGTATTTATTGCATATTTGTTTATTTTTTGTCTTTACTTATTTCTCATTTTAACTTATTTAACCTATTTATAAGTAATAATTATTATCTTTCATATATATATATTATATCATTATATACTTTTACTTCGTATTTACACAAAGTGTTATATAATTATGCTTAAGGTTTCTCTTCTTGATATTTCCAAGACGAACTTTAGCCGAAATTATTTTATTAAAATAACTGAAACTAATTATGGTATGCTGCAAGTTATTAATGGAATCATTATATTTGTTGGCCATTTTAAAAAAAATTAGGCGCTCGAATGGCTCCACTTTCTGCCAATGTTGATGAAGGGATTGAGCTTTTTTTACTGCGAAGTTTAAGTAGCGAATATTTCATAATAAGATAGCCATAATGCAAAATACTTATAACTGTAGGCAATGCAACAAGTATTCCAGAAGCACAACTATTCAGTTTGCTTGAACTTTTCAATAATAATATTCATTTTCAGGGCCGTTCCTTTGGCGAGTCGTCCGATGACGTCATTATTATTACTATCATTATTCTTATTTATGTTTAATATTATATAAAGTTTTTTTCTGAAAGGAAAGAAAAGCTGATATTGTCCTCTATTACTACTTTATTAAGCTTTTCTGTGGATTCATTGGGGCCTCATCATAAGGATAAAGTAAAGTTTATAGTAATAATGAAATGAGGATAATACTATTTCGATATGAAGAACTTGACGGACGAACAAAATATAAAGCAAAACACTGTTATTGTATTATTCGAGAAGTTTCATGTTCGTGCTAATACGTCTCTTTATTATTACTTTAAAGTTTTACTTTCTACTAATATTTTTGTTTTAATATACTTTAAAGTTTTTTTTACTATTCTTACTTTTTCATGTTTTTATATGAAAACTTTTTTTGTTATTTTCATTTCTTTTAGAGTTATATTATAAAGTAGTTATACTAATTCATTATTATTATATTTTATGCTATTCTACTAGTTTTTATATTACATTTTTTATTATTGTTTATAATATTACTTATTTATACAGAAATTTTCATTTTTTTATAATATTTTTTAGTCTCATGAACTTTTTATATTAGTATTTAGTGTAATTATGAAAAGTTTTCTAATTTATTATTGTGTGTTTGCTATATTCTTATAAAAAGTTTCACTGTGAAATGCCTCTTTTTTTATAGTTTTGTTATATTCCTTTTAATACTTATTGTTTATTATATACGTTTTACTATATACTTTTATATTTATATTTATTATGTATTTTTATTACTTATTATTTTTATATTATTATACAATATAAATTCTATATAGTAAATATTACTATACTGAAGGCTCTCTCGAAACTTCTTTCCACACGCGTTGGCTTTCAGGCTTTTACTCTTTTAACTTCTTTTAATGAACTTTTTGGAACAGCCGTTTTGACTGCCTTGAAAGTATTATTATTTATTATTATTATTTATTATTATTATTGTTATTATTATATTTACTTTATAGCTTCGTAGCTGTAGTCTTTCTTATGCTGTTTTTAAATGCATTGGATTGTTGATGCGAACGACTTTTCGTGCGCCGGACGCATATCAGGTATTTCTATGATTACTATTATTATTACATAATTCATTATTATTATTGATGATTAATAGGAGCATTTAAACAAGAGCTTTATATTGTCCAATAAAAAGTTTTTAAAAATTATAGTTAAAGTTTTTAATGAACGCGTTCAAACTGGTTCAGGTTCACCTTTTTTCTTTTTATATATTGTTTTATTTTACTTTTATTTATTATTATTTTATAAAAAATTAAAATAATATTATGAAAAAGGTTTGCTTGTGGTGCATTCTCTTTTGAATTTTTTTGTTTATTCCGTTGGTGAGCGCTTCAGTGCTACCACTCCAGAATCTTGTTTCGATACTCTTATAAGCTTAATGGCTGAAAGCGCTCCTCAGAGGTCATTTCTTATCTCAATCTTCTTTCTAAAATATGTTTGGTCTAATAAAGCCAGCTTTTTGCCGAAAAGCTATAATTATTGTTATAAAAGATATTTATTATAGTATGCTTCAAGACTTTACTTACTTTACTATCCAATCAGCTTGTTCAAATTACTCCAACATCCCGCCCCTGCGTTTGTAAAGGGCTCCGGGCAGCTAATGAAAGCACTTATAGAAGAAGGATCACCGAATATAGTGAATCAAATTCGGCGCGGTATTATAAATATAATATTCAGTGTATTTTTATACGGTGGACTCTTATACGAAAGTATCTAATCACGTGGTCTTTTCTCAAGCCTTTTTTTTTACTTTGATATATATTTTTTAGTAATCATTATTCACGTAGGACAGTCGTATTATATCATATTATTATTATTATAAAAGGTTCCTTAACTGAATGTGCTATTCTTCAACACTTGATAACTGCCATCTTCACTAGAACTAATGACTTTCGTTCGTTCGTTTCGAAAGAATTATCTTGTCAGCTGTTAGAACTTTGGGTTGGTGAGAATCCGGAAGCACTCGATCTATTGAGCAGAAGTATCCTTATACATTATAATTCATTTGGTGTAAAACAGCGCTAATACTAAGACATTACTATATTTTGATTAATAGTAAATTGTCTTTGTGACAAATTATTCTACTTTTAATTGGTTAAAAATAAGTTGTAAACTAAAATAAGTTGAAGTTTTACGTATATATTGTTATAACTTTATGAAGTACTATAATAAAGCGTGTTTATTGGCTATTAATATCAATGATGTCATTAATTCTTATTTTATCGCCAGTCAGAAGATCTTAAAATTTTGCAAGCCCGCCGTATTAATATTTTGTGCGGCGAGGAGTTTAGTAATAGTGAAGGATATAATATTTACAAATTTTTTAAAATTTGCTTGTTAATATTGTAAGTGTTGTAAATTAATGAGCCATTACCACTTATGATTTTATTAATATTTCTTATTGTAAATATATTTTACAAAACAGTTATAAAAAATTTCTTGTTATACTAAAAATTTTCATTATTATTTTTTTAAAATATTTTGCAAATGTTTTTCGTTGGTTATAAAAAAAATTTATTAATAAAGTTGGCGCTGTAATAATTTAGAAATAGTTATGATAACGTTGAAGATTATGTATTAAATTTTTATTATTATATAAAGTTAAAAACTGTTTTACTGGCGTAAAGAAACATATACTTCTGCTTTTGTTGCATTATTACTATTAAATTGCCCCTTTTAAAGGATTCCATTATCACATATTTTTAAATGTGATATATATAATTTTATAGTAAATATTTGCTTATGTATTGGCTGGTCACACTCATTAAAAAATTGTCTATTTCAGTAGTATAATAAACAATGAATCATTAAATTTTTTGTAGTTACATGTTTTCCAATTATATTTGCATTGAAAGTTAATAACAAATCTTTACTAGTTATATCAACTTTAACCGTTTTTTCAGTTTGGCACTATTAATAATAATTATTATTTGCTTTAGTATTTCCTTCTGGCCTTCTACGTTTTCTGCACAAAGAAAGTTCGGCATCTGAAAAAAACTTTTTATTACCTTCAAAAAAGACCATCGAAAATAACCAATCCGAAAATGTTAACTTTTTATTTATTATATATATATATATATATATATATATATATATTATATTTTATATATTTTTTTTGCAGAACTCCGCCACTTTTGAGAGATATAAAAAGTTTCTTCTTTTTAGAAGTCCAGATAAAGTATTATTAAAAAGTGTTTCTATCGTGTTTAAACTAATGTTGTAGGATAAATATTACTATAATAACTTTTTATATTAAGTATTGAAAAGAAAACGTTATTATAAACAATTACATATTTTATAATTATTTTTAAATACTATACAGAAGTTAATAAGAAATCATCTTTAAGTGATTCTATATTTTTATAATGCATTTTTTTTTAAAAGTAGTACAAAAAATGAAGTAAACTTTAATAATAAAGCTTTACTCTATTAGAGTATATTTATAATGGAAATCAAATAATTATTACTTAATAATTAATCTTCTTTTTAAATAAAAATATTTACTTGAAACAAATTCAGAAACAAAGTTTATAGGAAATAATAATATATAATTAATGTTTTCTATAATTTTTTATAGAAAAAGTAGAGAAGCAAATATTATGTATAAATTATAAAAAACATATAAATAATTATTATCGTAAAGATATTTATAAGAATCCTATATGAAACTTTTAAGCAATTTTATTATTATATAAACTTTATAATCATGCTTATGTGAAAAAAATAAAAGCAAAATTTATGGTTCGTTCGTTATAAATATATACAAGAAACTTATTAATGAGGGAAAATAGTAGGTATACTTTTATTTATATCATGAAACAATGAAATAAAGTTCTTTATATTAACTGTAATATATGAATAAATTTACTATGAATATTTTTTCTAAGAAGGAATAAAATTTTATAACAAAATATTTATATTAGAAGAGAATAAATAAATTTCGTTTAGAAAAAAATTATATAATGTTAGCAGGCTTTTATTGTAAAAGTATATAAAACAATAAGAGTGGAAATTGACATAAAAATGGAATAAATATTTTAGTATGAATATGAATTTAGTAGAGAATTGTTTAATATAATGGTTTTTTTATTTGTAGTGATGTTACTATTCATCGGGAATAAATATTTATTATTTGAATTTTTTTTAATTGAAATTTCTTAGAGACTTGACGCTAAGTTTTGTATGGAAGAAATTTTTTTTTTCTAAATTGTAGTTTTTGTATGAAACTTGTTTTGATCTGTTGAAATATTATAAAAAGTTTTTTATAGTAGAAACTTTTATTTATTTATTAGCTTTATTTTTTGTTCCCATTATAATAAGTTTGCAGATATTAATAAGTCGATTAAAAGCAATTTTGTTTTTTTCAATTGAAGAAGAAAGAAATTAACAAAATATAAAAAAATTCTTATTAATAATGTTCTTTTAATTATAAAATAAAGAAAAGTATATTAATAAAGTTGGCAAAACACTTTTTTTATAAACTGTTATAACTTTTCTATATTAAAAATTATATTTAAACAGAAAGCAAAATAATTCTAACGAAGGAGAATTTTATTATAAAGAATTATAGATTATTAACATTTACGTACTGAATATAAAAGTTTAACATTGCAATGAATATATTTTTATGCTCATTTCCTTTAATGGTATTATTATAATGTTATCAGTACAAAAATATGAAATATATAAAAGTATAAAATACGTTATTGCAACTTCTTTTTGGATTTCTAGGTCTTATTATTATTTTATATTTATTACTTTTATTATAAGAGTTTAACTTTAATATATAACGTATATAGAACATCTAACATTGATTACTTGAAGTAAAAAAATATCTATAAGAAGAATTTACTTTTGCTATATAATTAAACTTTTTACATGAAATTCATAATATTATTACAATACACTTAAAAACTTTTTATTTTTAAGGAATTTTATTGGACCTTTTTTCTACATTTATCGTTATTATTTTTGTAATAATTTTTATTTTATATTCATAAAAAGTAATGAATTTGGTTTGTTGGTATTTTATTAAAGTTTTGGTCTGAATTTATATAAAATTAAGCTGGAAGTCCCCAAGTTTTTTCTAAGGAACAGTCGTAAAAAAGAAAGAAGCTTCTTAAACTTTCCTTTACTTTTTAAAAATATTAAAAAGGTTTCTTATTATTACTATTATCGTTATTATTATTTATTCTCACAATCACTATTATTGTTATTATTTATTATTCTGGATGTTATTATTATAGAATCACCGACAACCTGACCTTATCTGGGATAGTCGAACGAGGGAAGAACTTCGCGAGCAACTTGAGCATGAATATCACTCCTTTTTATCTACAAAGGTTATATTTATTATTAATTGACTGCTATTTTTCTTAAACTTTTATTTATTTAGTCTCATTCTTCTTGTAATATATCGTGGAATTATTTAGAATTTGAAGTCGAATACAAATCATTAATAAATGAAATAAGAATCGGTTCTTTTTATTTATTATTATTATTACTACAAACTTTTCTTTGTTATGATTGTCTTTTAAAAAAAAATTTGCCGAGATTTTTATAATGAAGTCTGTAAAAATATTCTTAAAAACTTGCGTTCTATTTTTAATATGATTGGCTAATAATGCAATAGTTAACATATAGAATTAGAATAAAGTTTTTAACTATACCATAACAATCCGTACTTATCTATAACACGAGTTTAACCCAACTGGTTAATTATTAAGAATAAAGAATTATTACTGACCAATGACTTTACTGTCATCGAAAATTGACAAACCCACGTAAATATATATATCCTTTATTCATTTTTATAAGCAACTAGGAAATGATATCACACATAAAAATACAAACAACTATAAGATAAGGATTTATTATGCAATTGATTGGCGATTTTGATTTGCTGAACTGTTTATTTTTTAAATTTTTTAAAATATTTTTTATAAATGATACTAATAATAATCACCTTTAGATTTTCAAACTCATTATTGGCTTTTAATGAATTTTTGTAGTTTTTTATTGGTCAATAACTATTTTTTATAATAAAGTTAACATTAATTCATACTTATAAGGATTATAAGTCATCAGTTTTTATTGGATTAGTATTGGTTATAAATGACCAATAAGCTGCTGAATTGTTTGTCAATTTATTTTAAAGAATTTTTATTAGTTGCTATAAGCTAATTAATTATTATACTTTATTAAGGGGAACATTACTTGAGTGTTTTGCTCAACGAACCCAATGTTGATTCGCTGAAGCACATTCACAACCCAACGATATTTTTTCAAGGTTTTTTTAGGATATACTTTATTTTACATATTATTATGGCTTTAGCAAAATAGAGCAAGTCATTAAATAAATTGATATTGTATTTCCTTTTATTACTATATATTAATTTGAAAACTTTTATAATATTATAGACTTATTATTCTATTTTTCGATTTTCTTATTATTATTTTATAAAGAAAATTTTCTCCTATTAACTATTATTATCAAAGTCCTTATCTTAAAAATAAATTTCAAAAATATTATTAGTATTCTATACTCATTTAGAATTTTTCTTTCATTATTTTCTGCTTTTAGAAAATGTTATCCGACTGTAAGATTATAGTTAATATTTTATTTTAAAAATTTGAATTTATTTTATTATATATAATTTTTATAATTTTCATTATAGAACTTTACCACAATTTTTTACTAATATCCAACGAGGAAGTAAAGCTAGACTGCTTACAAGCAATGACCATTGTATATCAAGTATAATAAATATTTACATAAGCATCTTTGCTAAATTTTATTTTTTATTAAAAGAAATATTTTCACTAGAAAAATTGAAGTACAACATTAAAATTTTTTGTTTGTATAAATTTATTTTTCGTTTATTATTATTAATATTATTTACTATTAAAGAACTTCTACAATTCGATTGGCTGCTTTAAAGACTTGCGTTACGTCATCTTGATGGTTACAATAATTACTGCGCGCAATGTTTTATTATTTTTATTGTATTAAAAGATTGAAAATTCCCAAAGAAAAGTTGAACGAGATCGGCTTCTCTTATTTGTAAAAAGTCTTATGTCTCTTAAGGAAAATGCGAAGCTTTTAGTAGAAAGCCGCGGACTTTCCCTTTTAGTGGAGCTATCGGTTTATTATTATCATTAGTATTATTATCATTATTATTATTGTTAAATAGACATTAGCGCATCTACACACGGAACGAACCTCATTTCCAGCGCCGACAAACTTTCTTATGAATGGTTTTCGAGTATTGCTATGACGGGAGCAGTTTGTTACTTTTTTTATATAGAAAACCAGCCACTTTATAGCGAGAAGGAGTGGTATTACAGTTTGCCAGAGAATAAAATTCAACGGTTATTAATCTTCATAAATTATTATTACATCCAACGCACCAATCAACTTCCGTAAATTATCTGCTTTGGCAAATCAAGTATAGTTCTAAACCCTTCTTTTTTATGCCCACTTAGCGACAACCTTTATTTATTTTGCACCCGTTTTTTGTTATTTGGCCCTTATACTTTGCTCTTACAATATTGAATAAATATACAATGTTTAGTATTTTGTTAATGTACTAAAATTATTTGCACCCATTTTCAATTTACTTCCTATTTAATACTTATTTTGACCCAAATTATTGTTGTTTTTATTAAAATGGGTCCTGTTTCTCGTTATTCAGACTCGCTTACAAGCTCAAAAGTTGATCTATATAGATAATATTTTCAGAATATTAAAGTTTTGAGTTTATAATATTTTTTTTGCGATTAAGATTAATAAAATTATTTTTTTACTTATTATTTTTAATGGACTAAAGTACGATTTTACGATTTTTTTATATTACTGTTTTTATATATAATATATTTTTGTGGATTATAATATTTTGTCGTGTTTTAAAGAGTTCCTAGTAGCGTTTTCAACTTCCGCTAATGATTCTTATTTTCTTTTTTCATTTTCGTAAAAATATTACAATAAATTATTGGATTTTATAATTTTATTATTATATCTA